TATGTGTTGTATCGTCTCTGGAACTCAATTTCCACGTGTGCGTAGGTGACATCCCTCCCACTTTAATATACAAATACCATATTTGCTTCAATACAAGTACATCCCCAGTAGAACCAAACCAAAAACTACATTTATTGTACCGGGATACACAGGATCATTAAAAAACAACTTATTATAGCTGTAGATTCACACCTGTCATTATGGTTTGCATGTGTGCGTTACTTACAGATCAAAAACGGGAAGCCATATTATGGTGTTAAACTACCGTAGTATATAAAAGTATATAATCAACAAATATCAAGCACGAAAGAGTTTCTCACCTGATATATTTTTTCTTCTTCCGGGTAGATTCAAATTGCATTGTCATGGCATCTGTGTCTGATTTCTTATCAGGTGTTTTCAATTTAACAGCTTTCAACCAATCACTGCCTTTCTTCTGACTACCAGTCACATGACTACTTTGAGGTGTAGATGATGATGCGGCTGTTGAACTGCTGCTAGCTAGTGATATCAGTTCGGATAAGTTATCCTGAAAAATTGGCATACACCAATGGTGCATTAACTCACTTTCTCAGATGTTTATTGAGAAATATTACTGCAGATATGGTTCAGTAAATCTGATGATATTCATGTTGAAAGAAGAATCTAGTCTGTATTTATTTACATCAGAAAAAAAAAGTCACTATTTATTAAATAGATAAAAAATTATTCTATCAATTCGAGCATGACAAAAAATATTTTCCATCCTATAAATTCACGCTTTTGAAATTATTTTTACTACTGCAAATTAATAGTGTTTTTACGGTATACTTGGATAAGATAGGGTAATAATTAAGTCAAAAAAATACCTTGGCTGCAAATATAAAAGTGTTTGTACAATAATTATCATAAATTAGAATGTAATTTCAAATTTAGCGTTGATTTAGCAATCTGATTCAAATGATTGTGTGATAAAAAGGTTATTTGCTATGATCATTGCTGTTGAATCTTTATTATTAGTTGTGAGCTATGTTATCTTCCCATCTGGTTTGAGAATAATGTCACCCATAGCGTTACTTTTAATACCCAGCTCTACTAACTAATGACATGCTGACCACATTATCAGTGTATATCACAACATGCATATTACACATGATAAAAGGGACAGCAGTCAATAAGCTATATGGGGTAGATATAGTGTATATAGTGTACTTTATCAGTGTATAATTCAGACATGTGGGACATGAACCACACACATGCGATGTCAAGAAATATTCAAAATACATACATACATACCTTCTCAGACTGTGAAGTCATTTTTGGCTCTTCAGATTTCTCATCTTCACTCAGAGACTCGCAATCAGAAATATCAATATCCATCGATGACTAGAAACAAGGATAAATGGTCTTACAAGTGAGCAACAGTTCAAAACTAGGGGTAATTACTGGAATAAGATTGAAAATCTACATACCATTTCAACATACTACACACTATTTCTACACACAGACACCATTTCTACATACTACACACTATTTCTACACACAGACACCATTTCTACATACTACACACTATTTCTACACAGACACCATTTCTACATACTACACACTATTTCTACACACAGATACCATTTCAACATACTACACACTATTTCTACACACAGATACCATTTCAACATACTACACACTATTTCTACAGACACCATTTCTACATACTACACACTATTTCTACACACAGACACCATTTCTACATACTACACACTAAACACCATTTTTAAACATGAAACACAATTTCCCCACACCTTTTCTAAACACTATATACATTTGTACTGCACACAATTTCTAAACACTAAACAACATTCTTACACTAAACACTATTTCTAAACACTAAACAACATTCTTACACTAAACACTATTTCTAAACACTAAACAACATTCTTACACTAAACACTATTTCTAAACACTAAACAACATTCTTACACTAAACACTATTTCTAAACACTAAAAACCATTTCTCAACACTAAACAACATTTCTACAGACTAAACACCATTTCTAAACACTAAATACCATTTCTACAGACTAAACACCATTTCTACATACATGTACTAAACACCACTATGACTCACTACACACCTTTTCTACACACTACACACTACCATATCTATATACTGCACATAATTCCAAGGCACATTAACTAGTTTTACCTCTTTTCGTAGTCTATCAGTAGAGACGGTGCCAGAGTTGTCATCATCATCAGTTGAACTCCAGCACTGTATCTCAGCTGTATCATTGTCAGTTGTATGTGATAGAGTTATAACTGATCCACTTCTTTTGTTATCTGGTATTGAGAAATTGAGCAATCCATTATTTGAAGAATAATAAACCAAACTGATTAAAATCTAATGTTTTGGCTTGTATTTTGTATTACCGGTATATTTATATAATTATATATTGTTATACAGGATATTTCAATGCTACATTACTAATACATAAAAAATGCCAACAAATACACAATCAATTAAAATAAATATATAAAAAATTATAATTAAATTACATATTGAAATCAAAAATTATTTTTGCAATTAGAGGAAAGGTTATTCATACTTAAGATAAAGTAATATGGCCAAATAGAAAGACAGTTGCAAGTCTGTCGTTTTCTATCTGATTAGGAGTTTGAAAGGGGCACTAATAAACCTAAGAAAGAAACCAATGTGCTGAGAGTATTAGAAGTACTTGAAGTAGAAATAGCGAATAATTAAAAATGTTGGATTAAGTATAGCTACAAGAAATGTATGCTCTTTGAGATGAACAATAGTTTACAATATTGAAGTATATAATACATGTATGAGAAAACTATATTAAACAAAAGGAATAAATTTGATTATTATATGCATGTATGTGGTTGAAAATGAGAATGTTGACAGAAAGAAAACAGTGGACTAAGTAATAGAGTATTTGGATAGGTTATCTTAGATGAAAGTGGAGCTTCCATAACTTGAGTGTGCATCATCTACTGCATCAGTCTAATTTACCTATGGTAACATGCTCATAAACGATTGACAAAACTCACTTTTCTTTCCAGTGGATGATTTCTTTTTTATTTTAGATGCCTTTGGAGTTACTTCCTTTTCTTTTTCGATAATACTGTCATCAAATCCATCCATACATTTTTGCCATGAATGCTGCACACTGGTGGATAAGCGTTTACGTTTGGCATGTTTTTTATTTTTGATAGACCCATTAGTCATCTGTAAAAGTGAAAACATGACCACAATTTAAAAGATTATCTTTTCAAGAGGAGATATGAAGGAGTAAAGAATTTTCTTGTTATATACATGTAATATTCAAATCTGAGAATAGAGAAAATTCAACTGATCAGAAATTTTACGTTGTATATTAGGGAAAAGTGTGAAATTTCATTTTTTACGATGTATACATAGATTCCTGGTGGGAATAAAAAAAAATGAATGTTCTTTTTCTGGAAAAGCCTTCAAAATTGTTATTTTTAATGTTATACTGACCATGGTATTCACAGTGACTTTAGCAAAATTGTGTCTCCACAAATATCATAAAATTTGAGACATGACATGAAGCTTACGGATTAATTATTAAGAACTCTAAAAAATCAATTTGAAAAAAAATCTGATATTTGATAATATTCATGAAAATGTTGTTTATGTTTATTCCTTCATGTTTACTGATACACCATGAACTTTAAATAAAGACGCGATGTGTGTTCTGTTAAAGTGCCTCACTCATACAATGACATGCTTAATGTAAACAAGCATTGTATTTTACGCGTATTGTATACAAAGCATGGGACCCATATCTAACACTACATACATTGTAGCAGGACATACTGACAACTAGGGAACTTTAACTTAAGTACATTATGAATATAACACTTCTAAAAAGTAATAGCAAACACTGTAAATAATAGTGTGTACAAAAAAAATGAGAAGGAAATCTAAAAACAATAACAGAATTTTCATTTTGATTGGCAAAACTTCTTCAGAGCTTCAATGAACTAGCAAGTTTGAGCAGCAGCAACTAATCAGACATGATTGGCTACATTTTATGGTGATTACCAAAATATTTTCACATTTCTATCACCATTATTATAAACAGCCGTTTTCGGGAAGTATATACAAGTGAAATCGGCTAATTTTTTTATTAATTTTTAACATTACTGGTACTTGACATTAGTTTTCATTGAAATTTAAAACATTTTAGATCTCGCTTCACATTATATTATTAAAAAAAATCATGGGTCACCATTCAGTAATAAACACTGGCAATGTTCAATGGCAAATGATTGTCACCTTTTACAGTCCATAATATAAACAGGGAGGTTACCTATACAATCTCAGCAGGTACACGTACACCACTGCTACATGTATAGGTGATAAAAGTCCTGATTTGTCAAGTGTCTTGTTGAATTAATTATGATATGAATTGGATGACACAACTCGGAGAGAATTTATTTGTAGAAATGCAACATGCAACTACCGACAGATATGTGGGAAAGAGT